TTGACAAAACGTAATTTTTTGGCACAAACTCGCGGAGAGCGGATCACTATTTCAAAGTAAAAAAATATTTATTTAAAAAATGGGCGGTGCGATCGTAAACGCGTGTCAAAATGACAAAAAAACATGATGATGAAATATATATACGTAGTAAAATCTGCAGGTTTTTATCTCCCACCCGCATTCAGCACATCCGGTCGCCACCTCCTGCCACCGGTGATCATATAGGCCTGGTGACGGTGTGTGTTGTTGTTGTTATTATTGTTGTTATTGTTGTTGTTGTTATACTTATATATGCCGCTATAAAGGCATCTCTTGTCACGCGCAGGGTTTGTAATCAAGTAATTTAGTAATTAATTAATCCAGTAATATTTTCGCCAAGCGGCAGATACGTACTGCTACAGATGCCAAAAAATGAAAGCAGTAAATTTACTCAGAAAGGCAGAATCTTTCGTGTTTTCTACTAGGTTTTTATTGGGGAGATTTCTTAGCAGTTTGCTAGTAAAGAAACAGAAAGGCAGCAAATCTGCTCAACCAGACAGAATCTGTCGTGTTTTCTACTAGGGTTTATTAGGAATTTCTTGACAGCAAGGATTTGAGGGCCGTCGTTGAAAGCAGGCAGCAAACGCATGTAGGGAGCAAAACTCCTGCCCGCTATCTAACCATGTAAACTGAACATTGTAGTCAGAAAAACTGCTGCTTGCTGCCTTTGCTGCCCTCGTCATTTTATACAATGTCAAACCCTGCGTGTATATACCGAGTGTGTGTGCGTGTGTGTGTGCGTGCGTGCGCGCGTGCGCGCGTGTGTGTGTGATGCGACCAGACACAATGTGAACGAATGAAGGACGGTGGATGTAGAATAGGGCGGTGGATGTAGAATAGGGCGGTTAGTTTGATTATAGGGTAACATTGATCATTCGATGATGAGTGAATCGCGCGTGATCGTACAGATGATGATGATGATGATGATGATGATGATAATGGTGATGATAATGATCATGATGACGATGATGATGGTGATGATGACAATGATGTTGGTGATGACGATGATGATGTTGGTGATGATGACGATGATGTTGGAGATGATGACGATGATGATGATGATGATGATGATAATAATGATCATGATGACGATGATGATGATGATGTTGGTGATGACGATGATGATGGTGATGACGATGACGATGATGTTGGTGATAGCGGGCTACCGTCTGTATACTTGTGCTCAATAAAACGTATGTCACGTTCCTTATATCACAGAGCTGCTGCTGTTTTTTTTAAATCTCTTACTGCAGCTCTTATAATGAGGCTTGAGCTGGCAGGGTCATGCAGCGGTGAAGACGAAACCAACCTGACCCCCTTCCCACACATGTACATCCGCGATGGTGTGTGTCAGTGTCGTCGTTGCTGTGGTGTGGTGTGGTAGTGGTGTGTGTGTGTGTGTAGTGTCGTGTGTGTGTGTGTGGGTGGTGTGTGTGTACGTGCGTGCGTAGCGCGTGGTGGGTGTGTGTGGGTGTGAGTGTGTGTGACTAGCTGTGTGTGTGCGCGTGCCGGTGATGTGTGGTGTGATGTGTGTGGTGTGGTGTGTGTGTGTAGAGCTGTGTGTGTGTGTGATGTGTGTGTGTGTGTGTGTGGCGTAGTGTTGTGTGGGTGTGTGTCGTGTGTGTGTGTGTCGTGTGTGTGTTACGTGTGTGTTGTGTGTGTGTGACTGTGTGGCTGCGCGCGCAGGTGTGGTGTGTAGTGTGTGTTAGTGTGATGGTGTGTGTGTGTGTGTGCGTAGCGGGTGTGGTGTGTGTGTGGGATGTGTGTGTGGTGTGTGGTGTGTGTGCGTGGTGTGTGTCAATGAGTGTGAGAGGGGTATGTGTGATTATATGGGTGGGCGCATGTGTGCAAAGACGCGTAAAAGCTTGTGAAAACACGCTCACGCATATTTATTACACATTGTATAGTGCCACGTACACTTAAGGTGAAGAAATGCTGGAGAGATAAAATAAACAGAGCGATAAGTCACTCACACACAGTAGTAGTAGCAGCAGCAGTAGCAGTAATAGTAGCAGCAGCAGTAGCAGTAATTAAGTAGTGGGCAGTAGTAGTAGCAGCAGCAGCAGCAGCAGCAGCAGCAGTAGCAGTAAGTAAGTAGCAGCAGCAGTAGTAAGCAGCAGTAGCAGGACAGTAGCAGTAGATAAGAGCAGCGCAGTAGGGCAGCAGGCCAGCAGTAGCATAGCAGCAGCAGCAGTAGGCACAGCAGCAGCAGCAGTAGCAGTGCAGCACAGCAGCCAGCACCAACAGCAGCAAGCAGCAGTAGGCAAACAGATAGGGCAAGACAAGCAGCAGGCAGAGACGAGCAGCTGTAGGGCACAGTCAGCAGCAGCAGTTAGCAGGCAGTAGGTCAGCAGTCAGCAGCAGTAGGCACAGTAGAAAGGCGCAGCAGCAGTAACAGCAGGGCAGCGCAGCTAACAAGCAGTAGCAGTAGCAGCAGCAGGTACGAGCAAGCAGCAGTAGCAGAGGGCAGTACAGTAGCAGAGCAGGTAGCAGTAGCAGGCTGTAGCAGCAGCAGTGAGCCAGCAGCAAGAACAGCAGTAGCAGGCACGCAGCACAGCAGCAGCAGCAGGCAGCAGCACAGGCACACAGCAGCAGCAGCAGCAGCGCAGCAAGCAGCATCAGCAGTAGGCAGCAGCAGTAGCTTAGGTAGGCAGTAGCAGCAGCAGTAAGTAGTGATAACGCGTGAAGGCGTGATTAGTATTAACTATCGCGTGAACTTCACACACTTAGCGTCAGCGTTACTTATATCACCGAGCTGCTGCTGGTTTCTAATTCTCTTACTGCAGCTCTTATAATGATAGCTTGAGCTGGCAGGTCAATGCAGGTCGGTGAAAGAACGAAAACCAAACCTGACCCACTTCCCCACATGTACACCGCGCGCACGCGCGACGTGTGTGTTGTGTGTGATGTGTGTGGTGTGTGTATGTGTGTGTGTGTGTGTGTGTGTGTGTATGATGTGATGTGTGTGTTGTGCTGTGTGATTATGAGTGGGAGCAAGGTAATGTTGCATTAGTGGGTGGGCGCGGTGGTGTGCAAAGACGCGTTAAAAGCTTGTGATAAACACGCTCACGCGATGATTTATTACCGCTTGTCTGTGGCCAAACGCTACACATTAAGGTGAAGACAATGGCTGGAGAGATAAATAAACAGAGCGATAAGTACACTCACACACAGTAGTAGTACAGCAGCCAGCAGCAGCAGTAATAGTATAGCAGTAAGTGAAGCAGCAGCAGCAGCAGCAAGCGTAGCAGCAGGTAGGGCAGGCAGCAGATAGCAGAATCAAGCAGTAGCAGCAGCAATAGCAGTGAGTAAGCATGAATGCGTGTATTAGTATTACTATCGCGTGAAATACACACACTTGTCGAATTATCTTCAGAAGGCCAGCGCGCCAAAGTTAAGCATTGATCATCGTTAATCCATTTGTGTGGTAACTCACACAGAAATGCGCGCGCGTCACGCGATACACAAACTTCACGCTGGGGAGCAGGGATGAAGTGAAGTGAGAGAGCAAGAACAATAAGGCGAGAGAGAGAGAGAGAGAGAGAGAGAGAGAGAAAGAGAGAGAGAGAAAGAGCAGAGAAGGAGAGAGAGAGAGAGAGAGAGAGAGAGAGAGAGAGAGAGAGCGAGAGAGAGAGAGAGAGAGAGAGAGCGAGCGAGAAGAGAGAGAAGAGATGAGAGAGAAGGAGAGAGAGAGGAGAAGCGAGAGAGAGAGAGAGAGCGGCGAGAGAGAGAAACAGAGAGAGTGAGAGCAATAAGAAAGAGAGCAAGAGAGAGCTAGAGTGAGAAAGAGAAAGAGAGAGGAGTAGGAGCAAGGAGGAAGGAGGAGAGGAGAGGGAGGAGGAGGAGGAGGTAGGAGGGAGGAAGAGGAGGAGTAGGAGGAGGAGGAGAGGGTGGGAAGGAGGAGAAGGAGGAGCAGGAGGAAAGAGGAAAAGGAGAGAGGAGGAGGCAAGGAGGGGAAGGAGAGGAAGGAGGAGGAGGAGAAGGAGAGGAGGAGGAGGAGGGAGGAGGTAGGAAGGAAAAGGGAGAGTAGGAGAGGAGGAGAGGGAGGAGGAGAAGGAGGAGAGGAGCGCAGGAAGGAGAGGAGGAGAGTAATGAGGAGGAGGAGGAAGGGAGGAAGAGTATGAGGAGGAGGAGAGGAATGAGGAGAGGAGAGGAGAGGAAGGAGGGAAGGAAGGAGGAGGAGGGAGGAGAGAGAGAGGAGGAGGACGGAGGAGGAGGGAGAAGGACATTGGAGTGTCTCCCGCGTCGTCACAATTTTTGTTTTGCTCCAAGTACATCTCTCATCACCATGGAGCGAGGCATCTCACGTGACTGTTTCCTCACACCTGATTATGGTTCTCAGCATGAGATAGCCTGCTCGAACGCAAAAATCAACATTTATCATTATCAGGAGTCAAATACTCACTAATTAAGTAATTACACATTTGTATCAAGGCACCATAAAATCAACCAATTAACTTGTATCAATTGAAATGTGCTGATATTTATTTCCAGATACATAATCTGAATCAGTACAAAAACACGCACACACGCACACAGACACACAGACACACACACCAACACACGCACGCACGCACGCACGCACCCACACACACCACACACCCACACCACACAGTCTCAACATACACGCACACACGCACGCACGCACGCACAAGTCAAAACACAACACACACACACAGTCTCACTGTCACATATCACCAACACACGCAGCAACAACAACACACACATACGCAGCATCAACTGGTAAGTCGCCGTACGCTCTGTCAACCGGCACGCACACACATGACTACAGTCTCACCTATAAAATATAACATCCTATAATAGTCTCCCGCTGCAGCACCCCTGCCTATCGAGAGACGAATACTTCCATTACCATCGTCACCTTACATTACAGACCACTATATTACATCTGCTGAACAAACGATCCCTCCTTCCTGCACAAAACCTTCCTTTTCCTACTCCTCCCTGCTTCTTCCCCCCTTGTTGCTGACTGTCCGACGCATCGCTACACTGTATACGTCGTGCACAGGCGACCGGACGCGCGCGTGGCGCCGCCCTAGTCGTCGACCGTGTAGCAGAGCGACCGTGTGCGACCTGTGGACTGTCGTCGTGACGATCGCAGACGAACCTCCTGCGCGCAGGAAACAAAAGAACGATCGATATTCGGCGACACAGTACAACCAGACCCTTGTGGTTTTAAGGTGCGGGCGATCATCGCGCGCGCATCGATTTGATCAGGAGAAGTGGCGAAAAAAACGCGCATCTACAAGCATATCAAAACGACACCACTTTTTTTTCTTCTGTTTTTGTTTCGTGATTTAATTTTTCATTTAATTAAACATACGCAAGATAAACCAAACGGTTGTTAAACATCACAGACATGTGCCGAAGTCGTTCACATGTTATAACGACCAGTCGCAAAGACGCTCTAAGAAACGACGAATGTGAATTGGATTGTATTTTTAGACTAAAGTGTTAATAGTGCTACTTTTTGAAAAATTCGGTGTTGTTCCTTTTTGACTAAACATGCTAAATGTGATGAGTCAAAGTATCCACATGTTCAAAGAACTGATATTTTGTTAGATGACAAAAAATCGCCGTAAAAATTCAACAATTAATAGTAGAAATGCATGCCGCTAATTTTAGCCAATGCTGGAAATGGCATCTTCATGAAGTCCTATTTTTCAAATTTTTTTCCCGGAACCCCCCTCGTTTGCCTCCGTGCGCCCGTGGGCGACTCCGATGCAAAATGACCACCTCGTCGAGCCAAAGGTGTTGCGATTTTTCACTCGCCCTGCCTTTTCAAAAGCACAAGGATGTAACAGAGTGCGGCGCCGTGGACGCAGCAGATACACAGAATCAGAGGATCTTCTAGTTTAGGTAGTAAGGACGCCATGTGCACATAACAGCACTCATAGATGGCAGCACGCGTGTAGTGTAGAGGGCAGCACGAGTCTTGCGCGCAAGCGGCAACGACGAACCTGCGAGTTTGCGATGAAACATCGACCGGATTCCTCGAACGACTCCGGAACCTCACTCTCCTTATCCGTGTAGATTAGAATGTTGAACGAACCTGCGTCAGAATGAAGTCAGACATCAGTCACAGGGTACAAAAATACGCGGGAGCGCTGAGCGAGTCGTCTTCAAAACTCGAAATAGCTCCCGGGTAAAATTTTTCGACGAGAAATATCTTTCCCACACAGACGTTGTGACAAAGAGCTGCACAGGGGCGCGTCTAGCAAGCGGCAGGGGGACGGCAGACGGGCGCCGCGACCCCGCGGCCATGCACGCGAGCACGCGAGACGAACTCACAGGGAGTCTACAGCTGCTAGGACGGGCAGAAACGGCGCGCCGCGACCCGCGGCCATGCACGCGAGCACGCGAGACGAACTCACAGGGGCAGTCTAGCAGCGGCAGGAAGGTGACGCTGGCCGTGATCTGTCGTATGACGTCGCGTATCTCCTTCTGGATCTCCTTCAGCGGTTTGCTCCTTGGTGAGCTGCGGAGAGAGAGAGGAAGACAGAGAGGAAGCCAGAGAGGAAGCCAGAGAGGAAGTAGAGAGGAAGACTGAGAGGAAGCCAGAGAGGAAGACAGAGAGAAAGCCAGAGAGAAAGCCAGAGAGGAAGTTGAGAGGAAGACTGAGAGGAAGCCAGGAGAAGGAAGAACAGAGAGTAACACATAGAGTAACACATAGGAACAGAGGACTGAGACAACACAGANTCCACTACCTTTACGATCGCACGCGCGCACCAATGTGTTTCGTAATCCTGACCATCCTTTCTCTCGTGCACAACCGGAGAGAGAAGCCGTATTACTGGAAAGAACGAAGAGCAGTGGCCGCCGAGGGGGCAAGAAGGAGGGCAGGAGAACGAGCGTGCCTTCTATAATAACGCAATAAGAACTAAAGAAGCGAGAGAACGTGAGTCACACCGGTCGCCTGGGCGCATATTCACGCGCACCCGTTCCAAGAATAACACAAGAACATGCATCATCCGTCGCCGGGGTGCGCACGCGTCCGTTCCAAAAATAACACGAGAACGTGCGGCGTCCCACCGATCGCCCGGGGTTACACGCGCGTGCCGACTGCCTCGGGGTGGCGCCCCCTACCTGTCGTCGGTGACGGTCTTGTCTGTGTCGATGTCAAACTGCCATCGTTCGAGTGTCTCCTGAGTGTCAACGCGTGTGATGACGACGACCATCCGCTGGAGAACTTTCGCCGCAAGCCACTCTGAAGAGTCAAAGATGAAAGAGTTAAAGACAAGAGAGAGGAGGGGAGGAGGTCAGGTAAGTCCTCGAAACGTAGGGAAAACAAAGAGTTAAAGAAGAGAGAGAGAGGGGAGGAGGTGAGGTAACGTGCAGTCTTCGAAACCCACTATGAAGAGTCAAAAACGAGAGAGTGGGAGGTCAGATAACGCGTGAAACACACTACGAAACCCACTCAGCAGAGGAAGGGGGATCAACAAGAATGCCTCGCCATTTCCCAGTCACTCATCCGGCCTCCCTGCCGTAGTCAATTCATGAAGAGGGCAGCGCAAGTAAGGGTTCTCGCTCGATAGAAGCTTGCATTGGAGAAGTGGGGAAGAATCGCAGTACTGGTGGCGCATACGAAATTTGATTCTAAGTACGTATTCATGTTATTAATCCGTTTTTTTCGCCTCTTACTTCGACTATCGCCTAGAATATCTCTTTCAATATTTACTTACGACTACTGACTCAACTTACTGCTAACAGCTGCTTACTATTTCAGCTCTGCTTAGAATGAAATGTATATCTGCTGTCGTACTTAAGTCTCTCTTTTCTCAAATGCGAAGTAGACTGCCGTGATAATTTTCTCGAATACACACGCAT